GTACAGACTTCTGAAAAGCTTCCTGCCAGATGCTTATTTATCTCTGCGCTGTTTGCTAAAAATAGATAAGCAGCAATGCAAGGCGATATGTGTAGAGCTCGTGTGTTGCTGCTGATGACATAATAGGGATAATCAGCAAGATTGTGCCTTATTCAGCCCAAGAGTCCTGCTAATGCTGCTGGTGCCAATGGAAGTGAGTGCTTTTAGTTAGCATAGCGCTGCGGCATCAATTCTGCCTGTGCATACCATAAATAATAAAGCAATAAATAAAACACATCCTGCTCATCGTATTTTAAGCCTAGTCACATTGCATGGCACGTTAATTAATGCTGTGCATAACCCTATATCATTCATATAATATGCATCGTTCACTCCTTGTATAAACATCCTTTTACAGATAAGTAAGGATATGACTATGTAGTGTTTGCGTAGGCTTGAGTCCATGTCCTGATTCTGACATGTGACTATACGGCGACATATGTGCACTTTTCTCCTCTAAATGTCTCCTCTATGGCCTCTGTATACCATCGACATATGGACGATGAAAAATTCATGGGCTGGTGGTTAACACAAATCAGCAGAGGAGATGGGAAAACATGAGCTTAGCAAGCAGTCTGCCTATTACATTAACAGACTGTCATGGGACGATATTGGCGAATGCATATTACATCTAATCTGATCCCATGTTTACAGAGCGAGCGAGAAAGTGGTTCAAGTTGTGGAAACAATGACATCATGCTGTACGTTCCTCTGGCGACCCAACCCAATCAGGGAAGCAGGAATGAATGTTTTTAAAAGATGTTATCCTAAAGTACAGGTTTCACATTTTTGCATGTTTACTGGTTTTCAGATTTTTCCTTTTCCTCATCTCTCCGACTGCAGTGAAGAATTTCAGTATCAGTTTCACAAAGAGATCGAGTTAGCGAACAGGAAATGTTTTTTTTCTGTCAAACACAGATGCAACTTACTCAGACAGGCAGAAACTCCCTCATAAATACACGCAAAGCAACCACAGATGGGCTAAACTCGCACACACATGCACCACATTACAAAAATAGTACTTTTCTGTTTATGATCAGTGCATCTGGACAATGTTAATATATCGAGGTATTGCATTGTTGTTGTACTCCTCTCGCCCTGGAGGATTACAGAGAAAAGGATTGCACTGAAAATGTTTATTTTTTAATAAAAATCAAATCGGCACTGAGTGAGAGATATTTCAAACAAAACACAGAGCGGGGCATGAAATATATATTTTCTGAGCCAAGTAGAGAGACCTGGGGAATATAGGGCAAATGAAAAGGAGAAATGGGAGAAAGGGAAGAGGGGGGGGGGGGGGGGGGGGGGGGGAGGAGGGGGGGGGGGGGGGCAGGCAGCCCCTCTCAAATGCTTTGCCTCAAACATGATTGCCTCACTAACTTTCAAAATGCTGTTGATTTAGGCAATGTGCACATAAGGAGTGTTGGGTTTCTGAAGGAGTGGGGGAGGGGAGGGGAGGGGGGAGGAAGGTCAGCAGTTTAGGGGAATAACTTCAGAATAAGGGAAAATGGGAAATATGTCGCTCATAATGTTTTCCTTAACAGGCGCCCGAATGAGTAGCTGTCAAGACATCCTGCGATGTACATCTTGTTTAAATATATAATATGCTGCACCTCTGAGTGGAGCCTACAAATGTTTATGTTATTGCTTTGTAGCACACTCAGTATCCATGGCAAATGAAAGTGAGTAATACTCACTAATCATGACTGCTAATAACAAAACCTTGAACCACGTCAGCTGTCATTCAGCTCTGCAAAGGCCTGGCCCACTCAAGCTATTTGTAGCTGTTTCTTACAGCAGAGGAGCCTCAGCAGTGCCAATATTATTATACTACAGCACAGTATGCAAGGCCTGTAACCTTTAAGGTTTATATAAGAGCTTGTTTTTCATTCAGTGCTTCAGTGCACGCACAATAAGTACTCTATGTGTGCTAGTGAGGTCCTCCAACTTATATTTATTTTCTACAATGTGTAATATTATATTCCTCCTGGCAAGAAATGAAATTGTGGACACAAAGTAGCTTGGGTATAATCAATCCACGCTGGCAGGGAATGCGTGATAATTATAAACAAAATCTGTGTCATTCCCCGTGAGGACAGCAGCTGCAGGGGTGACAGGCGATGCTGAACATGAATATGGATCACAGGACTTAAGATCTGCTAACTGACGCAACCGCGGTGGAGCTCAGGCTGGCGGTGACGTAAAAAAAAAAGACATGAATATAGATGGAGTTAGATAAAACACAGTCTCCGAAAACTGTCATTGTCAAACCAGCAACGACCTTAAATCATGCTGTGACGGGAGAGCAAATATTGAAGATATCAAAGTCATTGTGTACACACGAGCAGCTGAGGTTTCATTACTCACCTCCAAAATTACAGATAAATCAGTACACACTGCAATGTTTAAATAGAAATATGCTGCTGATTATATAATCAATCTACATGATTATGGTGTACCTGTAGTTCTGGGATGAAACCATAACCAGAATATCAAAAATAGACTGGATTTCACTGGCAGGTTTTAATCTGATTGCTACATTTCACACAATACTGTACCAACAGGCATTTTTCTTCTCCTCCCCGAGCCTTCTCCACCCCCTGAGGTAGCCTGACACACTTTCATGAATTAGCCGATACAAGACGGAAGGCTATTAGAGCTGCCACAGCAGATTTGGCTGAATCCAAAAGGTCAGAATTAGCATCCAAAGAAGCGTAGAAGAAAGTCCTGAAACTGTTCCCCAGATCAATTTTTCACTTTTTAATATTTCACAGCTGCACAGTATTCCTTCTTATGCGTCCACAGTGCTGGTATTCATCCTAATAAAGGAGGATTTAATATGTTTTTTATGGCTGCTTTCTCATATGCTTCCTGGTAATGGCAGGAGGACTTTGCTCAGCAGTTGTGTATGTTTCTGAGCACATATGTGAGAACGTTTATGTGTGTGTTGTTGCCTATAACGTAGACGCCCTTGAGGCCTTAATTCACTTTGGCAGAGTGATGAAAATTACTTAGCTCGGCTGTTTTAAAACAAATCACCTAGCAGCAATTCAAGAAGGAATACAGGCTTGCTCAAAAACGTAGTAAACGGTCATGTGAATAACATTAGAAATGTAGCTGCCTTAGTCAAAAAGGAGACATAGAAGTCCCTTAGGCTCTGAGAATAAACCTTTAGCTTAAATGTGGCTCACAGAGGAATGGCATTATTCAGCCAAGTGAATGAGCAATAGCAGCCACAGGATGTTAGCGTTACTATTCATAACTTATTTTCCAGAGCCTAAAACCGTTTTCCCTTCTGGTCTCACCTCTGCTGCTCTCTTAAAATGCAATTACCTACTGGCAAATTTACAGGAAAAGAAAAACAATGGCTTTTGACCAGAGGAGCCGTTACTGTGAATGTCAAATTGATGCTGCACAAGAGCCCGCTGAGCTGCGCTGTGCTAGAGAGCAGAGGAAATATAAAAGGGAGATGAATCATATTACTGCTTTTGTTTAAGCCCAGCTCGGGGTTAATAAAATGTGTGGATTCGTAAGCGGCGGGGAAAGCACGGTGAATGGCAAATAGACATGTTCCAGCACTTCAAATTCCTCACTACAGCCACAGAATGCTTTTCTGAGGTGTGACTGGTTAGTGTAGTGTGTTTGAATGGCGGTCACTTGTGTTCATAAACAGAAAGACCCCTCTGAGACTGAATGGAAAACATATTGAAAGCCAATGATGATGAATTGTCTTGTATTGAATTGAACGAAAATGACAAAATAAAAGTGATGACTGACATGAACAAAAACTGATGATATCTACACAAATCCAAATAACTGCTACGGAAAATGTAACATCTACACCCACGGCAAGGACTAAAATACAAATATAGAAATCCTGAAATCTGTTTATCACTATTTTGTTTATGTTATAGTCATTTCATCCGAGCCAAGTGAGAGGTGTTCAAAACGGTTTTGGTTTGTTTAGCAGTGAAAACAATGCATCTCCAAATTTTGCATTTTTTAAATATTTGTCTTTAACTAAAGGATTTGGTATTCCTTTATGAAGTACATAACATATTATTGTATTACTCTAGTGAAACACCTCATTTGACAGCAGCAATGGGCTCACAATTGCAAGTTTAAAGTTAGTGTGGAGGTGTGTGGCGCAGTGGGTTGTGCGTAGGTGTTGGGATCAGGGGGTCACAAGTTCAAACCCCACTGCGGTCAGCATGTCATTGTGTCCCTGGGCAAGGCACTTCACCCCAAATTGCTCCTGTGGGGATTGCCCACAGTATTGAGTATGTAAGTCGCTTTGGATACAAGCGTCTAACAAGTGATATGTAACCACAGATTGTCTTTTTTCTTATGTAACACAATCTTCCTTGTCAAAAGCTGCATCCTACATTACCCATAAAGCAACTTGACTTCACACTGGTTGTTGGAGATGTGGGTGTTTTATGCTAGTAGCTGCTTTGAGCTGTTTTACCTGAATAGAAAAGCACTGTCTGCAGTAAAGGGTAAACATGCTCTTTCTGTGGTTTCACAGATACATCTTGTTGTGAACGGACAGCATCTGTATCTGGTTTTGGAACCCAAATGTTGGAGTAGCTCTTTTCTTCTGACCTTCGGTTGTCTTCATCTCAATTGCCATCCATGATTAAAATTAGAATTTTAAATGGTTTCAAGTGCAGTTCTTGTTTTCAAATAGCTTGGCCCAGAAAGAGCAAACAGTGTCCATTTCCCACTAAAAGCAGACTTCAACAAGTGGTCATTGTAACCAAAATGACATAATTGAAAGTGTGAGATGAACGGTGCAGGGAGAATGAGTGCATGTGATCTCAGGACAGGAGTAGTTAGATGTTTCACGGGCTCAATGTGCAACACTTGAGACGCCATAAACTGCCACTGTAATGGCTGTTGGTATTGCAGATGAGCTGATATGATAAGGTATCTAATCGCCAGCTGTAAGCAAAACTCACCGAACTCGTCACATATGCTCTCGTACTTCAGCAGGGCGGCGTGCTCGAAGGTGTCCCGGCAGTACAGGACGCTCGTTCTGCCGCCCAGCGCCGCGATGCCGCCCAGCGCCAGTACCGTGTGGTCGATGGTCAGAGAGGACGGCTGCTCTCTGAGACGTACTAACACCGAGCGAAACCGGCAATACTGGGGGTAACTGAGGACCAAAACCTTCCGCCCATCCTCCTCCTGGCCTGAAAAACACAGAAAATACAGAGAGACAGAGTTAGGAGGTCAACAGAGATTAAAATAAATAGTTAAATTCAACAATGAAAAGGGAAATCTGAGCAGGGAAATGTTTTTCAAGTCCTCATGTAAGATTTGTGGAGAATGGCAGCACTTCATTTTACATGACATATTCACTCTACTATACTTCTCTTCAGGTTTTATTACTTTATTCCCTCTCATAGATCATCCCCTGGCTACTATGATATTCTGGCACATATACTGCCAGTGTGCTGTGAATACGGTCCTTTTATTTCTTACTATTGGCCTGAAATTGTAAGGTTGCCTGTAAAGTTTGAGATTCGAGACGTTTATTGTACTGTCACTTTTGCTGAGTAAGATATAAATCTCAACTGATGAAGAAATATAACAAACAGAACCTTTTTAGTGCAGCTGAGAGATGCCAAAGTATATATTTTATTTTCATACAGTTTCAAATGTCTTGGGAAGGAATACATCTGTGTTAAAAGGCTGAGTAACAAATGCTGGCAAAACCCTATTTTAAGATTTTCAGATTTACAGGTTTAATGTCATATACTGTACACAGCGAGTGGAGTAGTGTAATGAAAGACTTGGGTCACAGTTCCTCAAAGAGCATAAACCATAAATTAAAAAAACAGTGAAACTCATCTCTCCTGCTTCCTGATTTCACACCTCATTGATCAAGTTTCAGGAAATGCACCACAATCAGTAACTTTGCTCCACTTGTGCAAATTTAAATAGTGTTCATCAAAGTTTCACACCTTTTATTATGAAATGACACTTGATGTCACCTGTACGCATAGTTACTGTTGTTGGGCTGCATGTTTGAAATGCATGGAAATCATCGCGTTTGAGTGACAGGAGGAATGTCAAGAACAACTCAAGGTGCTTAGATGTTTAAAATGACAGTTCATTTATGATCCATGGCGTCTAGAATGATGATATATTAGGGAACAAAGCTCTTGTTTTTTAAACTCAGGTAGTTGTGAAACCTCTTATCTTATCCAGACGTTACAAACCGCTTTGGGTGTGATGTTTTTTTGAGGTGGTATGCAATAAATATTCCACTGAGAGCATGTTAATTGGACTGATGTATATCGCAACTACCATGAAAAAAAAAACCTGAACAGGAAGTGCACACTGAGCTGACACCAGAAAAAGGAAGATATGCCGAACAGATATTTCATTATGACAACATGTAAGAACAAGACTATTGTAGTACAGCAGTCAGCTAACACACTCACAACATGTTTGTGTTTAGCAGATATAGTGTTTACCATATTAACCAACATAGTTAAGCGTGTTAGCATGATGTTTATGTGTTGCAGGTCATGAAAACATTTTGAGCCGACGGTGGTAAACTATTCCTTTCTTTCATTTTAATTAACCTCAGATATTCCTCATGTACGCACTAATATTGGCAGATGATTTCAGGTACTATGCACCTTTTAAATGCAATAAACTGCAACCTGCCCTCAAACTACAGTCTTTCATTCCCTTGAAGATTTTATTATCTCAAGTTTTTTTATGATTCCTGTAACTGTTTGAATTGATTGTTTGTGTAGTTGTGTTATTTCTGTTTGTGTATTATACGCGTTTTGTATTATACGGTCTCGCTTGAAAAAGAGATCTTAATCTCCATGAGAGTGCCCAGTTAAATCGAGACTACATTTAAATACAGTCTCTGTTAATTACATTACAAAAACCTAGCAGACAGATAAATGAAGTGCTCTGAAATACTTGCCGCTAAGACAAACACTGAACCAGCAGACATCATATTTAAAAATGAAGCCTCTTTATTCAATTTCCTCCTACAGGTTCATCTATAGATGTTAATTATAAACAAATAACAGAGAGGAGTAGCCGTGAAGGCTACAGGTGACTGAAGCTGACAGTTGGTGTGCAGGTCTGTTTAATTACGATCTCCCACACACAGTAACAGAAATATAATTAACTATAACTAGCTAGATGCTTTTTAAAGATGACAGGAGACCCAGTGTTTTTTCCGTTGCAGGAGCGCCATGTTAAAATATATTTCATTTGTTTTGTCTGCATATATCTTAATCCCCAGACACTTTATTAATAATATCTATTATGACCTGATACGATGGGTAACATTATATAAGAAGAGATAGTTCACATTATATTATATACTGGATGTCTGCCATTTTGATTAATTTGACAATCAATTACACATTTTTCCTTATTTTATCTGTTGTATCGAAAAATTATTTTGTCCTTAAAATATTGGAAAATATAAAAACAACAAGAAATCGTCTTGTTGTTTCGTTTAAGACCTGAAAGTCTCCAGTTGAAAAGTAAAAGATGCTTGCAAATGGTTACATGTAATGACTGCAATCAGTTTTTAGCATTTTTGCTTTCACAATAAGTCACATGGTTGAGCAATTATAGATTTTCTGTTGACTTACTAAACCAATCATTCACACATTGAGTCAGCTCTCGTAAAATATGATAAATGAATATGAGGTGACTTTCAAATGCAGAAATATACTATGATAACATATGCTGTCTCTGGTCCAAAGCTCCATGGGTGTGTTGTTTCTAATCTCCTACTATGGTGATTATATGTTAATGAAATGACCCCAGCATGCAGTGCGGCACAATGATTGGAAAGTGGCCAAATTTTGAAAAACAGACAAACTATGCATGTGCACTGTTCATTAAGGCTGTGTAAAGTCACTTCTCTCGGAGACTGTTGTTTGAAAGCAGAGTGCTAATATTATTTCTAGCTTAAAAAGCCGACTGCACGGTTCAACAGTTGATGAAGCAGAGTCAGGCAGTTTGAAACACGATTTCAACATGAATTATTCACTGTCCTGTCTGCTTTACAAAGCCCTTGGACATGACATTCATAGGAATTTCTGCTGCTAAGTTAATATTTCAAGGGTGAGTAACTAGCAAGCTTTTCACCTTGCAACACTAAAGACAAAACAGCTAGTGTGTGTATTCAAAAAATACATTTCTCCGTCTTTTGTGTTATTTTATCAAGCTGGAGGCTGAAGAATCTGCAGCTCGAACACGGCAGGAAGGACAGCATTCATAACATATTTACAGCAGCTGCATTCCCGACAATCAGCGTAATTAGTTCCACTGTACTCCAATGTGAAGACCACTTCAAAAGAAATTATTAAAACCATTCATCAGAGGTTGGGGCCTCAAATCCCACAGATGTATAAGCACACACATATTCCTGCATACATGCACGTTCATATCACACAGCAGACACACACACACTCATCAAGGATTGCGGCAGTTGTCGTTCGCAATTACAGCTCAGAGGTAGAGCAAGCTTTGTTCCAAATGTCAGGAATTTTATTGTGAGCAGTCACCGTCAGACCTGCTCTCTCTCCCGAGGACCCTCACAGCATTTCACTTGATTAGATTCAATTTTGGAGAGAGAGCCGCAGGGCATTAATAACTGTACAGAGGCGGTGTGAAGTATGCATGTCAGTGTGTGTGCGTTAGTGCGTGTGATGTATATTGAGTGTATGTACACTTAAAACAAATCGTTTTGTTCTCACAGCCCGACCTTTCCAAATAAAGGGCGTCTTTATCTTTAAGTCAGCTTTCTAATTGGTCGGGGCTGTGCCTGCGGCGCTGGAGAGCTGGAAGACACTGTGAGAAGACTGAGGACATTATGAAACTGGTTTCTGTCTCTCAGGAGATATGTTCTCAGTCAGTCAGTCAGTCAGTCCTGGTGCAGCGTGTTGATCAAACAGCTGCGGTGTGGCAGATTATTTTCAGAACACGCTGTAAAGCTCCTGACCTCATAAACTACAATAGTGTCAGGGGCATAACGGCTGGAGGACAGCTGACATTATAAACAGTCAGAGCAGCACTCAATAACTTCCAATACAATACAACATTTAGTCACCTGGTAAAGTGTATAGTACCATAGTAATAATATATAGTAATGTTCTGTACAAACTTTCACTAAATCAATTGAATTCTGCAGCCTTGAAGTCTGAAAAAACAATATATTGCAGATTGCACACATTACACGTGTATCACAGAGAGTGAAGAAAGTATCCAATGTTTTTGGAGTTTGACTTGTGATAAGATTTGAAAATAAGTATCTTTCCGCTCCTGCAGCTTCGATTTGACCCGTTTAAATAATAAATCCATGTTTTGAGTCCCCTAACGTTGTATAAGTGCTCTACCAAATTGCCTTGATTTGTTGTGTATTTAATTCCAAGAGTAAATTACAATGATCGTAATACAAAGCAGAAAATACAAATAGATGCAAATAAATATAAGAACTAAAGCATCAACATAACGACAAACAATCAGAGCTATAAAGGTGGATTTCCGCTGTGAAACGATGATAGATATCTCCCAATATACTGCATCGTAAACTGGTGCTTACTTTAGAGCCGTAAATAGAAATGATTGTCTGACTAACCGCAAATCAAAAGGAGAACAGACATCTAAAAGACCTTCATTAGTTTGTTATGTCTTGTTGTTCTGGCCTATTCTTGTACATGTTATTGTTGTTGCTGCCGTTAGTGTGTCTTTTTATTACTCTTAGTTAATTGGAGCTCTGCCAATCAAGGACTTATGTAATTAAAAAATCAATGCACAGACAGTTATTCAAAAGCAACAAAAGCAGGAGGGGCCTTAGCATACGTCTGGTCTTATATAGGAGCCTAACAGCAGAACGTTGTGCACGCTGTAGAGACTTCAAGGACAACCGGGTTACTCGAGTAGAAAGTGCATTACTCAAATGTCACCGGGATGTCTTCCAATGACAGCTTCTCTTACAAACATTTCTGAGATTAAAGAAGCATGCCTGAACCAGTTTTGTAATATGTAAATGTGCAGTAACATTGAAAGCCTTGCATTATCAGGAACAGGCTTTTCATGACTGTAGAGCAATAGACAAGAAATTATTAAACTGCTTGTGCAACGGGTCAGAAATAATGAATTAAATGGATGTTTCTACTTTAAGAGGACGGTCTGCTAAACT